AAGAGTATAGTCCGATACTTTCCCACAAAAAAAAAAAAAAAAGAAAAAAAAGAAAATAAAATAAGAGCTTAAAAAAAAGCAAGAAAAAAAGGAATTGATAAATATCAAGAAACGAATAATCATCGAGATTTCGAGCGGTAACAACAAGAGTATGGTCCGATACTTTCCAACAATAACCCACATACTGCACGAATGCCACACCACAGAAATCCAATGACAGAAATACGGAATCATCGCAAACATAAACCTAACTTCTCAAAATGACATACAAAGAGTATTAAAATATCTCAAAAACGTAAACTGCTACACACATATCTAATGGCACCTGTCGTCGCTAATGGCCTCGTTGTCGATGCGATAATAAATAAAAATAGAAGAAGAAGACTTTCCAACAAAAAAAAAAAAAAAAAAAAATAAAATAAAATAAAATAAAATAAAATAAAATAAGAGCTTAAAAAAAAAAGAAATTGATAAATATCAAGAAACGAATAATCATCGAGATTTCTTCGACGAAACGATCCCACCGGGTCGCTTGACAAGCCGATGTAAATTAAAGTTGGATCACGCGAGCAGGGGCGGAAACGTTAACGGTATCGCGGAGACCCCATGAGACTGGGGCGTCTCGTGGGCGTCGGTGTCGGGCAAAAAACGTCAAATACCAGGATGCACACGGTGCATACTCTCCCCTCTCCCTCCCCCAGGGAGCTCTTATCGAACGATTTAACCAGCTCGTTTACACGTGATCCATACATATAATGCGCGAACGAAGAACAGACGATTTATTCAAAAGGCTCGCGTAACTCGAAACTTCCACTTTTGAAGGCAATAACCTTCGACGACTTCGTTTCTACCATTTTCCAGAAATTCTGGCTATTTTCGACGTTGTTACACATACACACACGCACGTTAGAAGATGAGAGTACGTGCAACTTGACGACAGAATAATCGAAACGAGGAGAATATTTTCTTTCTTTTCTCGAATACTTCGTGAAACTTTGATATGTTTATAACATTTTTAACACTTTCCATCACGTTCATCGAAAGCTTCTCACTTTCGACTATTCCATCTGAAATTGTAACCACTGGGCGATCCCAATTATCTATTATAAGCATTGCCGAAAAGAATTTGATAATATTTCAATCCCCGAAAGAGTTACTACTAGACGGCCAGCGAATATTCTGGTAGCCCTTGGCAGCGGCCACGCACACGTCGCCAAAGAGAAAGATATTCGAGAGCGCGGATGGAATTGCGTGGAACAAAAGAGGTGCAGATAACGAGCAGACGGCGCCGTCTAAAATCTCGCGATCAGCATCTTTTTCTCTTATCGTCCCTTTGCGTTCCTACGGTCCGTGCGCACACGTTCGGTTACCGGACACCGCGGTTCGCTACAGACAACGGTTTGACCAACGTTTTTTTGCTGATCGACAGCAAATTTCAGAACAGAAACAAAGAAGAAAAAAAAGAAAAACACGAACAAAGGATGAAAACAACGACGACTGTGTTAGTCAGTCTCTCGTGAGAACGAAGATCGTATCATCTTGGCGACCATTTCACTGTTTTTTCACACTAGTCGTAGGCACCGAGAGTTTACCTCTTACAAACCCCCTCGTCCATCATCAGTCCCTCAAAAACTCTCTTTGTAAATCAGAATTCTCGTAACTTTGCCTCTGCGTTTTCATTTCAACTCCTCTCGCTGGTGTTTTCCGGCATTGCCAATATTATTTTAGTTTCTGTGTACCAAAGAGTTTCAATTTCCTAAAATCAGCAACTTGTATGACTTTTGCTAAAACCCTGAGAAGCCTCGATCAGTCGGCGATCTGTCTAATAAAATCTTCTAATGTATCTGAGGAATTAATAGGCGGTTCAGATACCGAGTCGAGTAGGAAAGATTTCATTGCTGGGATGGTTCAATTAATAAAGTACAGTGGTTTAGACAACCAGAGGAAGAGGAAGAAGACCACGACTAATTGAATTATCCTTTCTCTTTCTGCATAATCTCGTCTCAGGGGTAAAATTTGAAAACGTGTATGGCGATCTATCTGAATGAATCATTACCGAGATAACAACTATCTAAGGAACTTAAATTTCCATGTATCAGTGGCAAGATAATCGCACGATCGTGTCATTCGTCTATTTCAGCAAAAATTTCGTTGTTAGGATCGTGCCACGACTGGGTAATTGGAACGCAACCTTGATGACGGAGACGCGACAATAAATTCGACCGAAACGAAAATATATGTATAACAGAGTGGGGCCAGAATATATCGGTGAATTAATGAGTCACACGTGCTCGCACCTAAGGCGTAGAACGAGTAAAAGAAAGGGAAGAGAGGAACGATAAGAATTAATTGCTCTAAGCAGCGTCGCTCGTTCGCGTTCCGCGCTAGCACCTCACCTAACCTAAACCTCTTTGTTAGGATACTTAACCTCTAGCGCTGGAATGACGAACCACGCACGTCGAGAATTTTTTGTCCCAAAATTGCAATATTTTCTCAGTTTTAAGGCAAAACAAATTATAAATTTATTACTTTCCACTAATTTCTATCTAGTGACATCGTATCGACGAGTTCGAAAGAAGAAAAAAGCGACGAATTGTTGTATACGGTTTGGCCGCTCGTTATGGTCCGCAATCAGCGCAACTAGTTAAAAGAGGACAAAGTATGGATCTCGAGATACGATCAGTTGGATTTTCGATCGGCGAGAGCAAAAAGAATATCCTCGCAAGAGAGGCATGAAGTATGTACGTATATCTTTGCTAATAAAAAGAAACGACGATGATCTCAATTCGATATTCCATCGAAGGGGTGTACAACGAATTACGTATAGGGAAGGCATGGGAGGGTGATATGGATGCTTTGTAGGATTTCCTGTAATTAATATGCCGCGAATGATGCCATGCGTATCCACGATACCCCCAAAGCCATCGGATAGGACTATAGGATCCACCACCGCTCCTATATATGTATATATGTATATATCTATATATATATACATATATATATATGTATGTATATATATATATATATGTATATATACATCTCTCTTTTTCCCTCCTTCTTGCCACCCTAACGTCTCCCTGTATAACTTTCTGTTTCTGTCTGACCTTCTGTCTCCGTTCATGGGAATACACAGAAGCCATAAGAAATTCGATACGTTCCCCGTGGCGTGACACGGCTGTGTACTGGACTGGGCCTCGCCACGGTGGTGCTTCCCACTTCCTCCCTCGCGAAAATTCTCTCGGCGAGGAGAAACGCCGTCTATCCTGGCCACGATTCGCATCGACGGATTCACCGAAATCAAGGGAACAACGGCTGGCTCTTCTCTCTTTCTCTCGTGTATATTTATTGTATCCGACCACGACCTGTTCGACGATCATTCTCGATCGCGTTTCAGGCTCGTTAACCGTTATGAATCTTCCTGAATGGAATCGTCGAGAGTTTCCTGATCTCGATCGAGTTGTAAAATCGTTTCGCAAGTGAACCCAATGATCCTTAACCTAATGTTCAATTAAAATCTTCTGGAAATAATCACGGAGGGGGAGCGAGTTCCTAGAAAATATCTCCACGAATTAAGAATTTGTGTTTTACATGAACCGGAAGCTGAAGATTCTTTACTTACAATAAGTTCATCTATATGTTATATAGTCTGTTTTTCTTATACACGTGTATACAAAGAAAGTAAGAAGAAAAGTGTGATCGTCGTAGGATATTGCCAATTGTAAGTTGAAATTTCTTTTTGAGGAAAGAGATGAAGAGAATACGAGCAGGTTCTTGTTATCCGTTATCACGGAAATAGAAACTTATGATACAAGTACTTATATGTAGACGAGGGTACGTAAAAACTGAATATGTATATTGCCACAGGGTTTCAAGGGAGCGTATTATAACGGTGTTTAAATTGTTCTCTATAGTTGGGAATTTTAATTCTTTCCGGTGGAGAGGAAAATGGCGGTAATGAGGATCCGACGATTAAGCGGTTCGACAGATTGTATTACGTCTTGAACGTAACGGTGTTCGTTTCGGATCGAAAATTACAGAGCGAACATGGAACGGAAAAGTTAACGTTCGTATAATTAAATTCGAGGACAATCTAGAAATAACAACGAAAAAGAAAACGTTCGTGTGTAACCACCCTTAATCTGTCGATGACCGTGCTCTTACAGTATAAATTACAAGGGTACAAAGAGAAGTTTAGACCCGACAAAAAGCAGATCGCGAGACGCAAGAGAAATGCATCGCTAACGTTACGTAGTTATGAGGCCGTCTTCGAGTTTGCTCGGTTTCTAAAATCAGATCTAGAGCAACGACCTTCCAAACAACATGAAACTCCTACGCTTGCGCCCTCCACGGATTCCACGGATATCAATTCGGTCACTGCCGATTATCTTTTTGAACAAGGCCACGCAAGGACAACAACATACAGGAAACTTGTAAATATGTTAAATTCCCATGCGTGTTATAATAAAATATTTTTCATTGACAGACGACGATGTGACGAGATATTTACTGTAACAACACCATCCACATTTCACAACTGTGTTTCTTTCTCTCTTTCATTCGCTTCAAAACAAGCAGACGTGTCTGGCGCATCTCGTTATTTGGTTATTAGAAGAAAGTTACGTAACTTCTCTTCGAAAACCCCCTTTAACTCACGAGCTAATTTACGCGTGAATTTGCCTGTTTATAAAACGTCTTAATATATGTAAGTAACACCGTTGCGTGAGTAACTGGCTTTCAAATTTCTCGCGAAATTGATGATACATTTCGGTAATCTATTACTAGAATTATGTGTTTACTGGGTCAGCTGAGATGAATAAGGTATCAGATATTTCACCAAGCAAAGACTACAACCTCTGACTATTAAATATCAACATCCTAAATGGTTTTAACCTTTCAAAGGTTACAATAGAACACAAGGAAAGATATATACCTATGAGTATCCTTGATGATTTTTAATATACAATAGTTTTTAGAATAAAATTAAGGAAAGTGGTAAATACCTGTGTTCAGCTGCACGGTCCCTTTGTCTCCGGTTTTTGAACCAGTTGCTGACTTGCGTAGTGGTGAGTCCCGTGCTCTCTGCCAATTCTCGCTTCTCGCGAGGCGAAGGATAGGGATTAGTGGCATACCAATCCCTCAGGACGCTCCTGGATTTTTCCTTGAAGCAGTACGACGTCTCCTCACCGTCCCAAATTGTACGCGGCAGTGGAAATTTGCGTCGTACGCGATACTTTCCTGCAATTCAAACAATTCTGGTCAGTTTCGCGAATAAAACATTTTACAATAGATTTACACTGAATTATATTTACTTTACTGCTAATTACATTATTATCGCTTTATCTCTACAAGTGTTTAGGTACTTTTTCTATTCTATTTTTCTTTTCTTTTTTTTGTCAAATATTACTACTTTCAAATAACAGATTTTTCTTGTTCATAAGCAAGCTACCATTAATTACGACGAAACAAATCCCCCCCAAGAGGATTAGGCGATTTATATGATAGACAGTAAAACCTTTGAATTACGAGAGGCTATTTTTAAAACGACGCAACAGAGATACACACCCGTTTGGTTTGATTTTATTTCCGTCGTTCGATCTACAAGGATCATATATGTTTGACTATTAATTGTTATCGATAGGGAAACGAAACGCATAAACAATTTTACACCTTCAAGATTTTCTAGCCAATGATGTTAATCAATTTACAGTGATGTACAAAAACTTTCAATCTTTTCATTCAATTCAATTTCAGCAGCGTTACATTTCAATAAATTTCAACTAATAATTGTAATTGTCATAAATATTAATAAAAAATCCAATCTGCTAGGGGACTTTTCCACAGCACTGTAAACAGTTTTGATAACTACGTTAGATTTGTACAAATGATAAATAAACGCAAGGAAAGGTAACGAAAAAGACTACACGCTGATGACCGGCATAAAAAATTCTCGGTTCAGCTGTGAGAACGACTTCAAAAAGAACTATGTGACTACCAGTGATTTCTCAGAAGTATAGAGATGTTTTCTCTTTCAAAGCAGCCGGAAATCTTCACGCAGACCTCACGTCACACACGGGGGACAAAACTTCTCTCTTTGCTCTCTGGTTTTAGCGCATACATAGAGAGAAAGGAGAAGAGAGAAGAGATCAGATGACACAAATTGATTCGCAAAAGTAAATGGAAAGATCTAATTAGAATGTCAGCTCGTTAAGCTCGCCTTCCTCCCTGGTTTACAATTCGCGACAGAAATAAAACTGGCAGGCCTCGGGGGCGCGCGATGCTTGTTCATTCGCGAGATGTTTCCTTTCCGGCCGCGCTATTATGATCGCCAATAGATTTATGTCCGGCGTGATTTCTAAAATTCGCTCCGCGTATCTGAAAGGATCGCGAAGCATCGAAAGGAATACAACGAACGAGAGAGAATTTCTTCGTAACGATACCTATGTACAAAATACATATCAGATTACGGAAAGTGAACATAAATTAAACATTTCGAGCGTCCAAATTCTGTCGAAAGGTTATATTTAAGAAGGTCATTGAAATTTCATGCTCCGTTACCGTAGAATTATTACGTGGACCAACGTGGATGGCGACCGAAATGGTAGGAAAAAAAAAAAAGGTCGCAACAAAAATGGATTGACCAACCTTACGCTCTGAATTAATTTCAGACAATAGAGCAACTTCTCTCATCTCGAAAATATAATGAGTAAACCGCGTGGCATTCGTGTTATTCGTGTCACATTTTCAATTAAACGATATGCATATTTAAATTAATTTGAAGAAAGTTCTGATACTAACCGACTGCGCCAAGAGGCCTCCCTCTCAGTCTCTCGGCCTCTATGTAATGAGCCTTGAGCCAGAGAGCTTGCAGTTTTTGATGATTGTGCGGACTGAACGTATGACTCTCAAGGATCCTGTACAACTCCTTGAAGTGTCCCCGATGGAAGGCAACGATCGCCTTGGCTTTCAGGACGCTTTCGTGGCGATGCAACCTAGTGCACGCCGGCAGGGACCACAGAAATCTGCCGAGCCTCTCCACGGAGCCTGCCTGCTGGAGAACCTGGACAGACGACACCATCGCCTTGAAGACGATAGACAGGGGGGGCACACTGTTAGTCGGCAGAACTCATCCCGATCTCCTCTTATTCTAGTGTATCTTGTATGTTTCTCAATTTGTAATTATCTTTTTCATCCCGTGACTATTTCTTTTCGCGAAAAGGGTATTTTCTTTTCTTTTCTTTTCTTCCTCTCTGTCTTTTCTGTAGAAAATTGCAAATGCAAAATGCAGATAGATAAAGATCTTGGGGGATGTTCACACATCGAGAAAGATCGCACTTTGATAAATTCGTTATTAGTAAAGATGGCGTCCAAGTTTGAACTTCGATTCGAGAAAGAACAACTCGAAACGAATCGAATGTGATCCGATATTGAAAATTCTTGATAGTTGCCAGGTCTCGGGCTGTTAATATTTTACATGATCAGCCGTACGTTTGCATATTTAATGACAGACAACTCAAGACCTCTTGAGACACGTCAAACATTTCAAAAACTTCGAATATCGAATCACAAATCCGAAAAGCGTGTGTGTGATTCAAGATTTTCTGCCACCGCGTGTAAATATTCGGAACGTTTGAAACACTTACGCCATCGCTACACTGGTATGCCCTTTTCACGAGCTATCCCTCCGATACTAAAAGACTCGTAACACGTGAAACGACGAGAAAAAGAAGAGAAGAGAGACCGTTAAATTCTCATTACACGTGAGCAAAAAAAAAAAAAAAGAAAAAAAATTTTAACGAGGAAAAGGAATATTACCCTGTGACGGAATCGATGCTCGATTGCTCGTTACAGGCAAATTACCGAAAACGAGCGACCATTAAAATGTGACGGTGGTACGAGCCCTCTGTTGCACCTGCCATGGTTACTTCTTCATTCGCGTTTGCCGGGTGCCATCCTAGTTTCCAAAGCGCAACACACTTCTGACGAACGATTAATCACGAAATGCGTGTAAGAGAAATCCCGCCATATAACGAGAAACGAGCCGCGACGAAAGCCGAAGAGAAATGGCCGACAGAGAGCGGGAAACGGAGAGAGATCGCGATCGGATTTTAACGACGATGTAAGAACAATTTTCAATTGGCCGACGACAAATCAAACTGACACGCCGGGGCGAACTAAACGGTTAAACGATTTCGTTCTGTCTCGTTTCATCGAGCGTTCTACCACCGAGGCTCGGCGGAACTATTTGTCTTCGCGCGCGCGAGAACTCCCAGGCACGCGATGCACAGAAGACGGTAGCGCAAAGAAACAATCGGCACCACCCGGCCCAACCGCTAAATATCGATAGATCGTTCCTTTCTCGAACGAATCGATCCACGGTTATTTCGAATGATACAAGACAACTAGCGCCCACGTCTCATGGGATTATCGCGAATCATATATGTAATTATAATGTATATGCAATATATAAAATATATACGTATAACATTATATGTATGTATATAATACACATGTCATATATAATTTATATGTAATATATAATATATGTGTAATTATTTATGCAACTATAGTGACCAACGAAACAATTTCACTAGATATCAGACACGTAGTTACTAGATTACTAGTCACCAGATTACTAGTTACTATAACTGACGTTCATAATTTTAGAAATTTGAATGCAATAGAAATACGTACGATGTACAGTAGAGGATTTAAGAATAGATATTTAGCACTGAATAAATATCATATTTGTGAATGTTAATTTTACGAATTAATAAAACATCTGTAATCTAGTAATTATTAATTTAGTTGTTTCCACTAACATCTGTAGTCTAGTAATTATTAATTCAGTTGTTTCCACTAATTCTTTAAATTGAAATGTTAAATAAAGATAAATCGTCTGATCATGATGAATGTTGATAAGGAATGCTTTTAACCGAAACGATAAATTCGAATCACTGTAAAGCACGATCACAAGTGCCTTAAGCTGCTTTATTACAACGCGGGTGTAATTACCAGTTAAACGATTGCATTCTGAATAGACAGCGGGGTCATTTATCGAAAATGCAAAATGTAGCTATAAATTAAATAGTATATCCATGTGACGTGGGCAAGGAGTTAAACGTCTAGCCGTATACGTAACGCACTGGATGGGAATTGTGAGAAAATATCGACGTTCCTCGCACATTTCTTCTACGTGCTACAATGTGCATCCTAATTTATTAGTGGGGTTCGTGTCTATAATTTAACAAAATTTTGCAATGTATGTAAACAAGTATATAAAAAAGATTAATTTTCGTTGATTTACAGGATATGTTATTAACACTCGCATCGACATTATTGAAATATACATGAGCAGCTGAACATTAGGAATTTTTTATGTTTTATAATTTTCAAAGTGACTTTTGTATATTATTCTCATAGTAATTTTGAAGAAAACATATAATCATTGCAATTTTTGGTCGGATATTTTTTAATTTTCATCGAAAGATAATACTTATGAACTTTCATTATTTCACTTTGTTTATGTAACTTCTACCGTACTGTTGACACCACAGCTGCTGGTTTTAAAGTTATGTTGTCTAATAAGAATTTTTGGATTATTGGCTGAATTTTACATTTCCAAAATTGTTTCTCGCTATTTGCGTACAATTAATTGAATTTTATAAACTGACACACGTATAAAATTCACATTTTAGAAGCATTACTGAAAATTATGCAAAAATACAGACAACACATGTAATATGTAAATACACTTATGTAAAATACCCAAAGTGTAATATTCGTTATACCTAATATTTACCGTGATCAGCGATCGTGCGAATGTTAAATAAATATTTTTCTATTATATTGTTCATTTTTAATTTTGATTCGTTTCGAATTAAATGACAATCTCGAGCAAAACAGTGTCCCGAATAAAACATTCGTAGGTACGTAAAATTCCGTCGTGCACATGTGGGCTGTTCGATGTGAGAGGAGCGTTAATGTCGCACACAAAACAATTTATGGTTGGAGTAAAATCGTATGAACTCCATTAGACGTGTAACATGCAAATGAATCTTGGCGCGCGGTGCTGTGCAATGTGTCGTGTTCGCAATGCGTGGCCCGGGGAAAATAGAAAATTTCACGAACAGTTTCATCATCGCATATTCGCAACGTAAATTAAACCAACAAATTCAAATTAAATGTCTTAGAAACAAGCATGTTCTCGTTGGCCAAGAGGTCAAATACTACTTCACGAATGATCGTATTAATATCACGATTCTACCGTACATTCTATTTTTCTACTGTTCCAGAATTATACTATCGATAATTTCAAATGACCAATAATACAAAATTGATGTAACATACAAACTGCCTTGGGAAAACTTCACTTTGCACCAGTCCGTCGGACACTCGTCGCCCAACACCGCGCGCGCGGAATCTATTTTATCGATTGATCACGCATATCGGTTTGAAACAAATTCAAATGTCAAATTTCGTGTTTTCCGTTCAAACACCGTAGCAACCAGTCTTTATGAAGAAACTTACCTCGCAAACGCAGGCGACCTGTTCTTGGGTAAATCCGAAACTGGGCAATTGCCCGTTGCTACCGCTACCGCCGCCGGCAGAGCTCGCAGGACTATCTTGGGGGCTGTAACTGGTTGGTCCTGTAGCAGGGCCATAGGTAGTAGCTTCGACGGGACCAGCAGCGTGTCCCGTGAGTGGCGTTGGTGTCCCCTGCGGGCTGTAATCACCGGTCGAGCCCAAAACGTCCGTACCACCAGAAGAAGGTCCCATCGCACCTCCGTTTCCGGTGGTTCCTCCGTAGGCCATCATCGCATCATCTCCGGGGCCCACAGCGACCCCTTGCACTCCGTTCCCTCCACCCTCCACCGTGGACCACTTTTCTTCGGTACACTTCGTTTCACTCACTATTTTATCCGATCTCTTTTTCTATTCTCCTTACCAGGCAATATGAATCAAACAATTAGTCGATTGGTTAATTATCAATGGCAAATCCGCGGCGCATCGATCGTTCAGCCGACGGACAAGATTTAATTCTTTCGAGAATCGTTCCGACGGCAGATATTCAGCTACGTGCGAGCCACCGGCGGTGATTAACTCGTCCACGATCTTCATACCTTTCGATGGTCATCCACGGTGCTTCCTCTTTAGATCTAATTTCCTTCTAGGCATTCTCCTTCCCAAGTTTATCTTTAATGCCGTTCTTCTAATCGTCTGTATTAAATAGTAACTAATCTATTATCACTGAGACCTTCGTTACTTCTGACAGTTGTAAACCTAGAACTGACATATAAGCCAATGTACCATGTACTTCTTTAACGAGGGCAAAGCGAAGTATAGCATAGGTTCAACGGACGAACACGTTCTTCCGGTTGTATCGGTATAGCCCCCAAAAAAAAAAAAAAAAAAACGATTAATACAGGGAGTTTGTCTTTTCCAACGAGCCGATGCGCCGATGTTTAAAATGATCGAGGTCTTTTTAGTCTCGATCGAGAGGAAAGTACGTAGGATAATACAAAGGAAGAACGCGCCACACTTGTGACGGTATAAACGCGTCAGAATATGCAGGAAGGAGATATTTTTAGGCTACCGCGGCTTGGTAGAGTTGCTGCAAGCTCGAGAAGCTGCCCGTCGAATTCCAACATGGGATGTTTCTCGTGTTACGAGAGTAAAAGAAAGGATATATACTCGTCGGATATACTACGGTGGAATAATAAAATCTCACTCCGGCTGCGGTTATTCTCTAATCTGCTTTCAGAGGCTGGGAGTACTGGAACCAAGCAGAGAGCCTTGGGCCGGACCGATTGCCTTCGCTGTCTTTGTCTTCTTTTGCGTTTCGTGTATACGCGTACACTCCCAGCGTGTGTTTCTCTATATAGTTGCCTCCTATCTCAACAGTTTCCCTCCGTCTCGCGTGTACCGCGCGCGATTATCTTGCGTTACTGGCACCGACTAGATCCGATTATGGCAAGTTTCTCTTTAGAGCGCCAGGTGCGCCCTCCTTCAAGATTATTCTCCCTCTTTTCCCTTCGGACTCGCGTCTTTTCTATCTCCTCGTGTGGCAGGTTGCACCGTGAAATCCACGGGCTCGTGTTTCCGCGGCCCGTGGTAGCTGCGTATTTATAGGCGCTTAGTATACTCGCGTACGAACGGCTATTATTAGGACTCTGTTAAATAGTCCGTTTTCTCTGTCCTCCTCTACGGTGTCTCTTTTTCGATCTTTCTCTTCGTTCTTCTTTTTCCTTTCTTTTTTTTCTTTTTCCGTTTTCTTCTTTTGTTGTTGTTGTTTCTTTCGTTCTTTATTGTTTATTCAAACCTTCGAAGCGAGAAAAAGAACTTTCGTTTCACGTACGGAACTGATTCTGACTGTCGACTCTATTCGAGAGAAGAAGCACGCGACACGATCGATGCACTTGACTTGAAACGATTCGAGAAACACACTGTGTTGTTTATATCGCACACTACCCGAACACCTGACACTCTTTATCCGACTGACAACAAGCGACACGTCGTCCGTCTGATCAGTACCAAACACGCGACGCCACGAAGCGTACCGAGGCAGACTCGTGGCGTCGAAGATTACTCGGAGAATGATAACGAAATGTCAGATTTACACACACACTCCCTCTCTCGAGCGAAAAAGAGACGTTCTCCTACGCACGCACCAGAAGGGACTGCCGCTCCGGCGTGTTCCGAGACCGAGCCACTCTGTCATGCGCAGCTAAGCGCCGATTGGCCGAGGCGTGGTTCGTCTGACAGCTCCTCGAGCCTTCTGCCCATTGGCTGTTGGGCATGGCTACGACCACCATCCCGTCCTCTCATTGGTCGAACCTCCTATGGTAATAAATAAGCCTCATTACAACCCCCGACTTCTGTTTCCTTCTTCCTTCAATGCGAACGTGGTCGAAGAGACACGCAAGTAAATCGGACGAATCCAGCCCGAAACGAACGTGTTTCTTTCACGTTGCTCGTTAAGTTCCTCGATTGGCCAGGTATTTTAATTGCCTTCGAACGTGACTCGCGCGCGCGACGACACGCAGTAATGCGTGGGACTAGCGTTTCGATGAAAATCGCGACCTGTATTTGGCGAACTTCACGCAAGGCGTCGTTGCGATACCGTCGCAATTTCGAAATCGATCAGGTCAAACCTCTTCTCCGCTTGACCACCTCGAACAGATCCATGTCGTGTGTTATGGTTAATGGGAAAATATCGATCCGACGTCGAGAGATGCTCGGACGACGCGAATATTTATGCTGCATGAAAGAGAGTCTATTTCTATTGTTTTCAGTATCTATACTTTGATCTACGTTCGCGTCAAAGGTTGTGAAACATCTTCTTAACCTAAAAGATGAACATGTCGTAATAAATATTTTCTCATTTTCTGTAGTTTCTGTATTTGATCATAAGTTATGAATTTATTATTATTAAGTACAATCAGTAATTTAGTTAAGTTTATTATTGACACTACGAATACAAGAAAGATACCTACACATGTACTTCCCATTTGGCTTGTGTTTTGATAGAGTGCCGACGATATTTTTCTTTTCTTAATAACCATCGAAAGTGGTCGCAATTCAAGAAAACGACGAAAGAAGAACGAGGAGAGTTCTCGATGGTAACACGTGCGAAGCTTTGAGAAACGTCCCATGTCAATCAGGAAAGATGGCAAACCGGTGTATGCAAAACAAGCCGCGGTCTCGTTTCATTCGGACACGCCGGAAAATCTGGTTGGCAGACATTATTTTAGGAAGCAAAACCTTGTTTTTACAAAAGTCCTTGCAGTCTGAGAAAACAAGATGTCCTTTGTTCTCCACGTCACACGATCTTTCTCAAAGTCGAGTATCCGTCCAGTTGAAAACTTTTTAAACAACCATGAAATATTTTATATGATTTTATATATATACATACATGTATATATGCTTGTTAACGTGTCAAGTTTTCTGTAAACTGTATATTGAAAAGAATTTATAAAATTAAAATTGTGAAAGATAAATATCAAAATTGTAGGGAAAAAACAATCTACATACCTATATGAATAGAAACGAAGCTTATTAGGTCAATTCAAAGGTATAATTGTTCAGTGAAAAAGTGGATCACCGTGTTTTTTCTCCATGTAGTCTTCATGCTGGTACAAAATGTTTTAAACATTTTATCTTCATTAAAGCGAAACATTTGTTCTCAATTAACGTATTTAATTCGTTTTTCCATTTTTTACTTTATTAACGGTAAATATTTATATTTCAGTTGGTCGACGGCGTCAATTTGAGATCGTATTAATGTCAGTATTACTTGCAGAGAGAGAGACAGAAAGAGAGAAAGAGAGAGAAAATATCACACGGTTTCACTTTGATAATGGAACGCGTGAATGTAGAGAAAACGTAAAAATGTTCTCGCTGATAATGATCAAATTGCGCGAAAATTTGTGAGGTTATGTAAACCGTGGTGTTACATCAAATGGACCAGTCAAAGCTTTTCATTCTTACCGGGAATGTGTAATGTTATTCCCATGATGAAACACGTTATACAGACACCGGCGACGGTAAAGTATTGCATTACGATTTGTGTGCCACGTGAATGGTAAACAATTATTAATATCAACTTCTTTGCTACAAATAGATTCCATATAGATGAAGAATCGATTTATGGCATTATTTACCATATTTATGTGCGTATTTATCACCATGCGAAAAAAAAATAGAAAATTCTTGATAACAGAAGTTGGACGAATCAAAACTCTTTCTTGAAGCATTTGTGTCATAATATTCGTGTCAGTCGATTGAATATAAATTCTTTCTCAATTTCTTCTATGTCGAACATCAAGTTTAAATCTTTTAATCAATTAAATTTTCGTTATAAATAAACGAATGAATAAATATCAAGAGACTGAATGAGACTGGGGATTCTGATCTGGATCTCGAAAATGATACCAATGAAATTGACATTATTTCCAGTGTCAGTTGTATGTGCGGTTCTCTCCGACGGGGTGCCACCCGTGGCGTCACCATTCATCCTGGACGTACGGTCGAAGCGGTTTGTGGTCCAGGAAGAAGTCGTTGACATCATAATGTGACGTCTAGATGCTTACGGCTCTCCCCGCCCCCTTTAAGCAACCGTGAAATCAACCGTTCGATCTTCTCGATGACAACTTGTTCAAAAATATCCGCGCGTATGCGTGGCCGTGTCGAGAATGATTTCTGTGTCACGTGCCGTTTTATCGCGTTTATTTTCGTTCATTATCTGACAGGCACTTGCTTTGCTTTCTTAGAGAATAGAATTTACTCGAACGAACGATTTGTAACTCAAAAGATATATCGACCACGAATAAAATTCCACGACGCGCGTTTTCATCTCGATCAACAATCATCCATCATCAAATCAAACAAATCGGAAGATATACGCGTGATGTTTCTTGGAAAGCGAGCAAGCGACAGTTTCCGACTATAGTAAACGTAGTATGTATTTTCGATGTCTCGTGGGACGAGCCGGAAGTGGAAAAGGAACAGGGAGTACAAAAGACAGCGTTCGCATTGACATCGATTCTCTTTGTCGACGGAGGCATAGGAGGCACGGAGACACGTCAGGCTACAGCAAAAAAGAGAGAGGGAAACGAGGAAGAAGAGAGAGAAAGAGAAAAGAGAGAAACGGGAGCGTGGAACGCGAAGGAAGGACGACGTGGTTGCGCAACAATGCGAAAACGCAAGAGAGCATCCAACGAAAAGCTCGTATCACGTTCCCATAAGTGGCAGAGCCCGAGGATCCCTGCAGAGACGTCCTCACGCTTTTCTCCCTTTCTCTCTTCCCTTTTTCTTCTTTCTCTCTCTCTCTCTTTCTCTCTCTCTCTCTCTCTCTCTCTCTCTCTCTCTCTCTCTCTCTGTTTCCCCTGTCTATCTTCTTTCTTTTCTTTTAGACGGGCAGCAACGTTCACCGTACACGTTCGCACGTGTATATGTAGAACATAAAAAGGGGGACGTCGAGAGGCGCCAGGTATATGTACGTATGAAAAATTCCATGGTGACGGCACCCTGGGCATCCCGCGGCGAGACCTGAATAACCCATAATTGCTACCCCTCCATTCACGTGCACGCCTCTGTCGTTCGTTGTCATTCGTCGTACAAAGACGTCTCGTAACTGGCCGCGACACTCGATTCACTCGGGGCGAACTTTGCCCCCGGGACGCTTTTCACCTGAAGATTGTTTGAACCGCGACTATCATCAGGCCCTGGATCGGGCGGGTAACTTGGCGTATTGTAATAAACTCTGGAGCGTTACTGGACGATGCTGCGCATTGAACATTCGTGTGAAACATGCTCGACAGGATAACTCTTACGTGTATAAAAATTCTCGGCTGATAAATGTGATCTGCGTTAATTCCTCGTTACCTTTTGTAAAGTAACATTCTAAACAGAAGACAGATTACAAATCCACGAATTTTGCAAAGGATCAGTAACATATTCAGTATACATGTATACATGTTACAATTTTCTGTAGAGAACGCCAAAAATGAAGTACATATTTCTTCAAAAACCAAATTTGAAATCAGGTTGCTTTCCTGTGAAATATTCCTATTGCCTTCGGTTAATTCTGCTTTCTACGTGTACAATATATATATATATATCTGTTTTTGCATATACGTTCTCTGAAGCCATTCTCTGAAACAACGTACAGACAAAAATAACATGAATTGAAGAATAAATGGCATGCCTTCTTGCCTTCTCGAGAAATCAAGAATTCCTCAATGTTAATAATTCGTGAACCACGGGAGAAACCAGTTTGGTCCATCTTCTAGTCCGTTATCTTGGTTATCTATCAAAGGTATAGGTATTTCTTCCACATCACCCTCGTTGAATGACCAAAAGTTCCTGATGGAGCCCGGAGGATTCGTTTCCCTATTGATTTCGTCAGAATTGCTGCTTCGTACGGCGGAATACAGTCGATCCGACGAAAGGTTTAGCAAATTGCCGGCTTGTCTCGTGCACGTGTCCGATACACTGTTCACGAAGTTTTTCAGGGGAAGTTTAATGGACGTGAACTTTGTCTTTTTGTCCTTCAGCTGTTGTTTGCAAGGGCTGATGACACGCTCTAAACCAGGCGCAACCGCTTCCTTTGTCTCTTTTACTTTCTTTCTGCTGTTGATGTGCTTCTTGCAGTCCTCCACCTCTTTTCGTTCTCTTTCTATCTTGTCTGCCACCGATTCGGATGAGTCCTTCGCGGTGAATGCCATCTTTTTCTCTGCAATAACGAAACCTATCACAATCACGAAAGTTTTCCTTTGTACCTTTCGAGAGGGCTATTTTTATCAGGATAAAGTGCTGCGAAATTTCCATGCAATAATTCTATTCTAATTGCAAAACATCTCAAAATCTATATTAAAAGCTGCTTCGTTACGCAGACAGTTCATAAGTAACAACCATACTATCATTACACGTGCAATTTTATTTAAATAAAAATAATATTTCGCAAAGCTTTCTAATAACCGATCAAGGAATAATATAAATAGTTGGACACTCGTAGCAGACATTTTGTAACTCGAAAATATCGTATAGGTATACACATTCTATCACGACGGTATTTATATGACACATTTTATGGAAGCTTCCAAATCACCTTGGCACATTCTCTCTCTCTTCGTAGAGCACGTGTCCTCTGTCGTAGCGCTACACTTCAACCTGTCGTCAGTTTTGGATTTGGAACTTTTCTTGCACGAGTCATCGTCCATCTTGGTCATTGACCTAGTTTTCTTGCAAGGATCGTCAACTCTCTTCACCTCTGGACCGCAGGTCTCTTCTTTTTTACAAGTGGGCCTCGTTTTCTTGCACGGATCCTCCTTTTTGCAGCTCGGCCTTTTCTTCCTCTTACAAGGATCTTCCTTCTTCTTGCAAGTACCTCTCGTCTCCATGCAAGGATCTTTCTTCTTCCTGCAAGGCTCCTCCTTTTTGCACTTGTCGACGGTCAGCTTGCACTTCGACGACGGCCTCGACGATTTGTCGTCGCTTTTCGAACGAATCGGCGGATGGTAAATCGGCGGCGAAACGAACAGGTTCTCCCTCGCGATCAGATGGGAGACGAACAATGGCGCGGAAGAATAATGTTTAACGTTTCTCGTAACTTTGCAACGACTCGAGATCGCGGACTGCGTGTAGTTCCTTCTTCCGTTGCATTTCGTCGATCTGCTACACTCGCGATCGTTGGACTTCCGTTGACGTTTGCAAGAACTGTCCAGTTTTCGTGGCTTCGTGCAGATCTTGCGAACACGTTCCTGGGAACGATCCTCTTGCTCAGAATACTCCCGTTGGCAGGATCTTCTTCTGCAAGTTTCGTTAAAGTGATTACGTTTGTTAGAACATCGGCAACCAATAACCAGTTTTAACCAAAGTCAGTATCGATCGATGGTTTATTAATTGTAAAGCAATCTTTAGCAACTGTTATCAAGATGCTATCGAAGTCTATTTATTTGAAAGACTGACCTCGTATCTCTCTCCCATTCATTTTACAATGTATATTACTATATCATCTACTGATATTTATTTATTGTAAAAGGACATTAATGAAAATTCTACTGTAGCTTAAGAAACGGACTTAAGGGGTCAGGACAGTTTGAAATTTTCAAAAAAATCGATTTTTTTCTTTTGTTTCTTGTTTTAAATAATAGTTTGAAGTCTTAGAAATAAGATAGAGAAGGTCGTAGCCTTCAAAACGACTTACTTTGGGGTATATAATAATAAATCCGCGGATACTAGAATAATTGAATTTGTATCACTGCTTTACAGCTTTTATGCAGCATTATAAAGTGTAAATCGTGCGATTCAAATGTTACTTTTGGTGGATCGAATATTAGGGGAATATTGGGTTCAATTTAGTTGTGAATGAACACAACGAACGGACGTCTGTTATATTCTCGTTAACAGTGATTTTCTGATTCGAAAGTTGCTGCAAGCTCAAGAAATCAGGACAGTGTGAAATTTTCAAAAAAATCGATTTTTCTTTGTTTATTGTTTTAAATAGTAGCTTGAAGTCTTAGAAATAAGATAGAGAAGGTCGTAGCCTTCAAAACGACTTTGGGATATATAGAATAATTGAATTTGTATCACTGCTTCACAGCTTTTATGCAGCATTATAAAGTGTAAATCGTGCGATTCAAATGTTACTTTTGGTGAATGGAATATTAAAGGACTTGGGTTCAATTTAATTGTGAATTGTAAGAATTGTGAGCCACGATGTATACGTAAAAAAGAAGTAAGTAAAGGATACGTATGAAAAATGAACGTTCTGAAACTTTAAACGCGTTTTTCTCGAAACTAGGTTTTCTAGAAACGGTGTGTAAGATATCTCGGAATCTAACCAACGGATTACTGTGATACTCAATGCGTATCTTTAGTGTAACATTTACTAGAGATTGACGATCGAACATTTTTCAATTTTCAACAATTTCGAAAAATATAAACAAAAAAACGTAGAAATTTTTCGGCATAAATTCGACACACGAGAAACAAATAGCTGCTATTTTCATAATTGTCACAGAAATGAAAATGTTGGATCGTCGATCCCTAGAGAATATATTGTTTACTTTTGAACTTTTTCTTGCCTTTTCGTTGCAACTAATCCTGAAATTTGGCTGGAATCATGCACACCGATGGGCAATGTGAAAAAAAGTTATGTAAAAAAGGATGCTTCTTCTCTTCTCGTGTAATGTTGCTTTTTATAGTTCATAATGTGTCATAAAGTAAACCACAGAAGCTCACGTCGATCAAATATGTACTTTTGTTAGCCCCCTAAAGTGTTCGTAATTTTTAGTCAAACTTTGTCCTGCCCCCTTCGAAAATGATCAAGAAAAAAAAAAAAAAAGGAAAGAAAAAAAGAAACGAAAGTCTCAACCAAATGATCGAAATCTGACGATTATGCACCTTTCCGAGCACGGCCTCGATCTCTCCCTGCTGCAACTCCGACTGCAGTCCTCGCGCTTCCTCGGAGTCGTGCAAAACTCTCTCCCCTGGTCCTTGCACTCGTCATTCGGTGAAAACGTACGGTCTCTCGTCACTTGGCGCGGTTGTACCGACTGGCCACACGTGTCCTTAGGACACTGGAATCTGTCGTAGTCGCACTTGGTCGGCGTTTGCAACGCAGGACAACAATATCGCTTGCAAGTTTCCTTATCCCTGTTGCACGGTCTCTCTTGCTCGCGCTTCTTCCTTCTAGGCCCCGAGCATTCGTCATTCTCATCGCGACACTTTCTCGCTGGATTCGCGCTGCAAGTCGAGATGTTCAAGGACGAGTTCTTCGAGTTCGGTGAACTGCCGGCTGCCTTCGAGGCCGGCGTTTTCCCCAATAAACAAGAGGCGTACGAGGAAGATCTTTTGGCGGTGACCGGCGGAAACGAGGCTGGCGGTTTCCGAGAACCTCCGTCCGAGTTGCCAGGCATGGACTGCGATTTACCATTGCCGAACGTGTCCATTCGCGAACTCGAAGCGCTCCTGTTCCATTTGATCTGTCGCAGTCTCGCTAGCGTTGCCGCGCAGGGCGAACTATTGACGCGACTCTCGTCTGGTCTGGTTATGTTCAATCGCGGCGTCGTTCTCTCTGTTCCAATTATCGGCTCCAAAGTCACACCCTCGGTGGTCAATGATCTTCGTTTCGAAGCTCTCGGGGCGAAGTACATGGACGACGATCGCGGTTCAAACGGTATCTCGTCTGTTTCAACTCTGTCGAGATCTTCTCCAGGGGATTCTGTGCTGGAAACATCCCTCGAACGTGACCTTTCGAACTCGTTTGGTTCATTCTGCGAGGACGCTTCTGCAGACGATTCGAAACTGTTGAAAACTTTCGTCTTCATCTCGCGTTCAATCGGATATTCTTGATTCCTTTGGCTCCCCACAGAGGACCATTCCGTGGAGTTCTCAGTAAGTTCGGTGAATCTGGGGATCGACGGTTTGGAGGCTGCTCGTTTCTCCTCGTCGAACTCCATCGATGCAGCCTCTTTATCGAGCCTCTCGCAATCTGTTCGCTTCAATATCGGCGCGCTGGGTTTCCAGACTTTCTTTGGCGGCCGAGAGGAGAACCGAGCCGCTGGTTGCGTCTGATATTTCAATTCCGACTTCGATATTGGAAGGTACTTGACACTTTCTTTCCTGACGCTGGCGCTTAGAAGTAAATTCTGATTGGGGACGTTTCGCGATTCGTCCCTCTTTGAATCGTTATCATTCTCAACAATTTTGTTTTTCTCAGTGTCTTCGGCTTCCGTTTCAACTTTGTTCTCTATAGCCTTCGTCGTCAAGCGCAACGTGACCTTTTCATCGTCATCTACGGTCTTTTTACAAACAGTGAGACTCTCGTGAAGTCGTTCCGCCGTATCGCCGAGATTGTCCGTCACTTTCGTTCGACGTTCGTTTCGCGGCAGAATGTCAAAGTCCTCGTGGGACTTTCCACCGGGCACGAAGGCAAAGTCGATGGCGTTCTCGTTTCGAAGCGTTTTGTATCCTTTCAGCTTCCACTTCAGCATCATCGGCACCGGCTGTCCATCCAGCAGAGAGGCCAAGCTTTCTTCCTTCAGCGGCCTGTGAACTCTCAGGCAATTCATCGGCGTCGATCTCAAGTCGAACTGGCATTCGTTGCCGTACGGTGAGAATGTTTCAGCCGCGTTCGAAAACGTCGGTGATTTCGAGACGTCGTCGAGATCCGAGTTGGGGAATGAGGACGGGACGATGTCCTTGGATTCGGAACGCTCCTTCTCGTTGCTGCGTGACCCTCCTTTGGCGGAGAGGTCGAAGAAAGTCCAGAATCGAGCTGGGCAGGCGGTCGTGTGCATTTGCAGCGGGTCCGAAACGAGACATTTCTGCATTTTTTGGAAAAACGAGATCTCAAATTGAGTTATTTCGAAGAATTATATTATATTATTATATTATAATAATATATTATGATAATATAATAATATAATATATTAATTATATTATATGAACTATGTTAGAGAACTGTAGTAAGAAATGTTTCATCGATACTGTACGAAATTTTATTATAATATATTATTATTATTATATAATATATTATTATATATATTATTATTATATTATTAATATATTATTATAATATTATTATAATATATTATTATATTATAATAATATAATAATATAATATATTAATTATATTATATAAACTATGTTAGAGAACTGTAGTAAGCAATGTTTCATCGATACTGTACGAAATTTTATTATAATATATTATTATTATATAATATATTATTATATATATTATT